AAAAAATATATATATATATATAATGGTAGTGGGGGCATGTGCCCCCACTCTCCTCTTAATGGATCTGTCAATGTCTATGCCTACATTTTTTAACAATATACCAATATATATTATATTTATTGTGTGGGTAAAAGTAATTTTTAGTAACAAGTATTGTATCATTATAGGGTATGTATCATTATACGACAATTTTCTTGTAGTGTTATTTTTAACAAAATGAAGCATGATAGAATAATTATTCATGAAAATAAATATATACTACATAGATATGAAAATGTCATCGTGTTACATAATCAAACAGACTATATATACATATGTGCAACAAACGAGTTGTCGCATTTTGCTGTCCTCTATTTGTAAGACAAACTGATTATCTTATTGACGTAAAAACATGTTGCTTATTTTACTCTAAAAATACTTACTTGTTCGTTTAAATCAAAATCGTTTGTCCTTTTTCCCAATAGTTACTTTCACTTTATTTATTCATAAAACTAATCAATTTTGAAATGGTCACCACAAATCAAGGGCGCTAGTGTCTGGTTGAAGATCGTGGATAATTTGTTGTCATCATTAGGAGTTTGCATAATTTTTTTTTGGACTAAATATAAATAAATTTTATTAAAATTAACTTTATTTAATGTTTTTAATCCAAAAAAATTCATAGAATAATAAATGAGAACACTATCTATCATGAATGTGGTTAAGGATAATTTAAAAAATATAATGAATATTTTATACGAGATTGTAAAAATTTAATGCATTTAATAACTTTTTTAATATATGTGAAATTGATTTTATTTGCTTATGTATCAGTTCAAAGGAAGTAATATTTATAAACATACATTTATGACCAACCAATTAATTTTCAATACCTTTCATTGTGGATTCTTTCTAATTTGATTGATTTTTCCAGTGTGCAGAATAGAAGGTGGAATTAAGTTTTTGCAGTGGTGCATAATATGTTATGGTAATGTAGGAATGGCTTTGTTTTCAAGGAGTTTCCATAGTACCTCCTAAAATAAAACTATGTATTCTTGTTGGGGTGGATGCAATTAGTATTAGAGGTTTGCAGGTTTTGAGAGGCCACATTTCAGCTAGACATGCTATGAGGCAGAAGCATGTTCGTTGGGACTTGGGAGCCTCCCCTGCCTGGTAGTTTCAAGCTTAATTGTGATGCATCGGTTAGTGATTTGAGAGCGATCGCGGGAGGTATACTTCATAATCATTCAGGAGCTATTATGTTTTCCTTTGCTGCTCATATTGGTTATTGTTCAATGTTCCATGCGGAGTGATGGGAAATTTATATTGGTATAAATATTGTTTGGAATAGAGGATTTAGAAAATTTCTTGACTCAACTACAACAATTTCATTGTTGAGGGAGGGGTGCACTTCATACCATGCTTTTGATTGGTATGAAGGATTCTTTCTTAATTTTAACTTGGTTGGTGGTGGGTTATCTTAATCTCATGTGTTTTATGAAATAAATCAAGTAGTAAATAAGTTAGCAAATTTTGGTTTGTTTTTAAATGATAATAATATATGCGTATTTGAGAATGTTCAACCTTTCTTTGCCTTGATTGCTAAAGTTGATGTAGCTCTCACTTTATACTTTTGTGATTTTTAATTGATCTA